GTCTTCTGAAGACTTCGAATTGCAGGAACCATCTCTGATGCCTAAACCCAAGAGGAACACCTTGCGAAAGGTCATCAAGGACAGCTGCAATTTATACCGTGCGATTCCTGGTCACAAGAAAGGTCTCAGGCCCACTAAGCCCATCACGCAGGATACAAGTGAGTCTGTCAGCCCCTGTTCACCCCTGTCTTTCCTTCTCCCCTCCCCCATGCCATTCTGCTGCTGCTTTTGCCTCTGGTGGTGCTGGCCATACCCTCAGCAGGGCCCTGCTCGTGAGCGACCCTTCCACAGTCCCAGTTGGATGGACAGGCCTATATGAGATGGGCGTAGGCTGAAGGGTCCCTACTGTCCTTCTCCCAGTGGCTCCAGGGCCCTGGCAAGGAAAATGGGTTCATCCCCCAAGGCACACAGGAGAATGTTTGCGAAGTGTCCAGACGTAACAACTGTGGTTTCTGGGCTAACAAGGACCTTAGAGCATCCAGACCAAGCCCTCCCCTGTTCAAGGGAGGAAAGTACCCTAAAGAGGGGAAGGAACCTAAGGCCAAAGGTCCTCACTGACTTGGATTCTTTTGCAGATGATGAACATGATTACGAAGAAATACTTGAGCAGTTTCCGAAAACCCTCTAGGTGCTGGAGGAACCTTACTTCCTAACTGCTGCTTCTCAGGGAACCCGAGGTATCAGCCAACTATTACAAGCCTTTAGAGGACCTTGGACAAGGTCTCTCAGAAATCAGACTGTGGACAAGGAGTGCCTGGGTGGGGACTGACTGGAAATAGGATAGACCCAGCACCAGCTTCCCTCTGGCTCCTCTGGGCCCAGCACCTTGCATTTGGCTCCTTCAGCCTCGGAGCTTTGGTATCAAGTAGCCAGCTGGGTTCTACTCAATCCTGCACCCCAACACCAGTTGTCCCACTGGTTAGTGCAGAAAGGAATCCAAGAGACTGCCCACCTTGGTGACGGCAGCACAGTGCCTCCTGCCTCTTGGTAAAGGGGACTCAATCCTGATGACACACTGCACTGAGAGCCTTCTGTAATGCTGGCCACCCCTGCTCCACTCTCTCCTCCCTCTCCCCATCCCCCACCCAGGCTCCGAGCCTCTGAGGGACCAGGACTGTCTTCCTCATCTCTGCAGCACCCAGCACATGACCGTTGTAGGTGACTATCCAAGATTATTTCACTTTAAAACCACAGAATAAAAATGACATCTGAGCTTCTGGAAAAATGATAAGAGATTATCACTTATTAAGTTCTGTCTGTATACCAGACCCTTTACAAACCCTATCTAAATCAACTCCCTGTGGTAGACAAGGCCTTGTTTTAAAGATCAGGAAACAAACTAGTCTAGTGTGCTTCAGCGGGCAGGCTAGTCATGGGCCTGGGTCAGGACCCTTGCTCACCACCTATAACTGATTTTAACCTCTCTAAGCTTCAGTTTCTTCACATGCAAAATGAAACTAAGTTATCTACCTCAAAAGATTGTTTTAAGGATCGACTGAGATAATATCTGTAGAGCATTTATCACAGTGCCTGGCTCATAATAAATATTCAGTAAACATGTTAGTATCATTACTGTTGACCAAGATCTGAGAGCTGTACCTGTCTCTAAAACCAACAGCCCTTTCACATGCTTACACTGTCTCCTAGTCATGGAATTCATCCCAGTGTTTATACTATGTTCCTGGGCTGTGGAGACAGAGCCAGTATAATGAGATAAGAGAAGAAATACAAGCCTGTGTCTATGCAGAGAATAACTCAGTTTCCAGGGTCAGTTAAGGCCTGTTCAGTAAGGTAAGCCCACAGGCCTCACTTCCTAGAAGTAGTGGGACTTTGGTTTCTTGGGCTAATGCAGTCACGGAATTAAGCACCATGGTCAGCGGAGGACAGGAGAGAGACAAAAAGATGGAAGGAGTGTCCAGTGGAGGCGGGAGCCGAAAGAGGGTCAAATTCCCACTCCTGGATTCGAGGCATTACACCTGAGTGTGTCCTTCCTTTGCCTCCTAACATCCCTCTGGCTCTCTGGACCCATGTACTTCCCAGGCCGCCACACTCCAGCAGGGCATTCTCCAGGTGACCACTGAGCGGTGACTATGTGCTGTTGGGCCAGTCCCCAGTATCTAGCACCCATGCTCATCTCACCAGTTCCCACGCCCTCCTCCACAGACGCAATCTCTACCACACAGGGGGACCCTGAGGAAGAGAGTACTCTGGGAAAAGCAATAAGCAAGAGAAAGTTCCTCCTTGGCACAGAACCCCTAGGGATCAGGACCCCATGCAAATGTCCACAGTTTCACTTTCACGTTTGCAGTTAATCTTGGTGCCAAATTGAGCAAGATCACAAAAGGGGGGCAGAGGAGAGGGGCCACCAGTTCCCACAAAAGGGGGTTTCTGAGTAGCCAAATGCTGCCATGAGGAGAAAGGCAGCAATTTCATAGCAGGGAAAGCTGGGCTTAAAAGGAAAACATGTTTGAAAACCACAACTGTGAATGTCTTACTAGAGCAGTGAGGGCAGGAAGGGAATGGACCAAAGGCAGATACCACCCTCAGGGTGCTTTCGTCTTCTTTACCTCAGGAATAAACCGCTGGGTGGTGGGGAGGGAATTATAATGGGGCTAGAGATTCCCCCCAGCAGTGGTCTCCAAAGTGAGCACACAAGATGATTGACTGGGAAACAGAGAAGAATTAGTTGACCCCCCACACGGTCAAAAAATCCACATACAACTTTACAGTTGGCCCTCCGCACCTGCAGATTCAACCAACTGCAGATCGTGTAGTATGTGTTTATTGGAAAAAATCTGCATATAAGTGGATCTGCACAGCTCAAACCGTGATGTTCAAGGGTCAACTGTATTGGTACATCCTTTCATATTTATTTTAATATCCTTTTTCATTTCTAATTTTGAGTGTTTTGTAATATATATAACAAACTAATATAGTAACTGATATAGTAAATAACTGCTAAGCAAATGAATGTAACCTGGAGATGCATGCTCAAAAATTTATCAAGAGTTTTGAATTTCCCTCAACAGCATTTTAAAAAACAAATCTATTAATTCATATAGGACACTAATTCTTACTGGCTTTTCTCTAGTTAAATCCAATAAAGTACCACTATTTCCCAAGGAGCCTCATCTCCCACCTGTACACCTAAAGAGATCTTCCTGAGACTAGGCTGGACTCATGGCTTGGCTGTGACACTGGGGATTTCTGAGAACTTGGGTCATAGTGCTGTTCCTGCTGTCTCAACAATGTACCAAGAGAACACTGTATACCTGACATCCCAGGTGATGACAAATATCCAAAATGCAAGTTCCCCTGGCTTGAGCAGGAAGAAGATCTACAGAGGCTGGCGCTTCACTCTGCTGAGGAGTGGCCTACCTCTGCTCAGCCCCACGGGCCTCCATAGTGCTCAGAATCCACAGAGCTCCTGTGATACCGTGTCAATGCCAAGGTGGCAGGGAATTCAGTATCCCTGAGTAGCTACTCTGTGTTATTGGGAATGCTGAATCAGCAAGTCCTGGGACACCAATCTCTTATTTTGCTTTATATTCCTAGTAGCTGACCAATGGGTTGACACAGTAGGTATTCAATAAACACTCGCTGAGGGCTTCCCTGGTGGCACAGTGGTTTAAAAGTCCGCCTGCCGATGCAGGGGACGCGGGTTCGTGCCTCGGTCCAGGAAGATCCCACATGCCGTGGAGCGGCTGGACCTGTGAGCCATGGCTGCTAAGCCTGCGCATCCAGAGCCTGTGCTCCACAACGGGAGAGGCCGCAACAGTGAGAGGCCTGCGTACCGCAAAAAAACCCAAACCAAACAAAAAAAAACCCACTCACTGAATTAATGAGTAAGTAGTTTTTGATTGCTAAATCACAGAATTCAAAATCAAAAGAAAAAGTGACTTCCACCCAGAACCACTGCTATTGCCCCCTTGCTCATTTGAGGGCATTAGCATGGTAACTAGAAAGAGATGTCCACCACCCATAAAAGTATCCTATCATGCATTCCATATTCAAATGTATATGCTTTTTTAATCCTGTTTTTAGCCACTGTTCTTTCTTTTAGGCAACAATCAAGAATGGACATACTTGCAAATGAATATACTGGTTGACTGACTTTTAAGCATCTGCACAGCTCCCCAGATGGGAACTATCCTGCATGTACAGAAAATAACAACCACATTGTTGTTCACTGTCAGAAACCAAGGGAGTGGAGCCTTCTCTACACAGCTGCTGGTAGATCTCATTTAGAAACACAGTTAAAGCAGGTACAGAACTTTTATTTGCATGTTACACCCCATTAACTTATCTCTGAATTAGCTGAGATGATAAAGTATTAATTATTACAGTGTAAAAAAATAAGAACATTTTTACAAGTTACTGCAATAATACAACTATTTTATTAAACATATGAATGTACTTATTTTGTACAAAACACATCTTTCTCTCTGCCCCATGAAGCCACCATTCTAGAACCCCATGCTTATAAAAACACACTTTGGGCAGCAATTATGACAATGTGAAAGAAAGTGCAATTCTGAAAGTAACAACACATAACCATATAACCACATAACCAAAGTGGAGAACAAAAACAGGCAGAGGTTAGTGGGCTTTGTGGCTAGCTCTCTGCTGACAGGCCCTAGTCCTGCTCTTAATAGGAAACAATTTAGGAATAAAGACTCCTGAGTATTATTTAAGTAATACCGCCCAACCCTCTTGGTAGCATTCCTCTTCCAATTCCATTTATCCTGATATTGTAACTAACTAATTTGTAAGTTCTTTAAGAAATTCCGCCCTGGTTTACATCCCTGTCAGTTGCCCATATCCCTCTGAGCTTCAAAAACACAGAAGAGTAGTAAGTTTCAAAAGGATGTCAATTGAAACCTTTTATAGATGAAACCTACTTCCTAGAAGTCAACCTACCAAATATATGCACAGCTGGAGACGAGAGACTGCGTAAAAAGTCCAGCTGGAAGATATCTCGGGTACCCAATTAGATCCAGTTATTCTGCATCTGTGGATTTAAAATGATCATCATCCACAGTGGAATAGATGTGTCCCTCGTTGCTTAGAAAATCCACAGCTTGCCTAGAAAGAAAGAAAAAACCAAATGCAGAAGAAAGGAAACTGCCTTTTGGATATGGCCAAATATGTAAACTTTACTCATTTCCCTACTTTCTATCTTAGCTGACAAGAATTCATGGCCATTTTGCTCATGGAAGGCTCTTGCAGGGAGAAACACCAGTAAAATTACAAAACTGAGGTAATCCTTGGAGACAAAGGCTTTAGGGCTGCCTGGGATGCCTCTCCCAAGTTGTGTAAAGCAAAGAAAATAGGACCTCACTTAAATACCAGTCTAAGCAAACTGAAACCAGGATCTAAAGCTATAGTTCCGGTTGCATATAATGTCTCCCAGTATAAACAGCTATATAAAAAAAATAGCTCCTCACTCATCCACTGACCCTCTCATTCCCCTCTGGGAAATCAAGTTGCAAGAAGAAAAGGAAACGTCTTTCTAGAAATGGTATGACACCTTCAAACCCTTAGAGGCCCTCAGGGTCAGTGTCAGTAACATATTTAATAAGAGTAACAATTTATAGAGCACCTACTATTGTGACAGAAATTCTGCACCTCACCATCACAGTAACTCTAAGATAGGAATTATTATCCTCATCTTATAGGACAGGAAATGGAATTAGACCTGAGTATTCTTTTCTATCGAGACCTAGAATATTAACTAATTTATAGTAACAACTATCACAAACACCGTAATACTCAGTTTGTTTGATTAGTTCATTAGAATCAGGAAGCTGCTTGTCTAACAGGTTATCAGGACAAGGATGTTGGAAGGACTGTCTAATGGCTTCAGGTCCAGATAGCCTGAGGAACACTGCACAGTGGGGACAGCAACGCCAATGCAAATGTACACCCGAGGACTAGGAGCTTAGGATCTCATTCCTCCAGACTAAATTCCACGAGAGGTATCTGATCAATTTTTGCTCAAAATTACATCCCTTGCACATAATGGTACTTAGTATTTGCTGAATGAAAAATGAATGAGTGAAGTGACAGGCAGCACCATCTTTGTGAGTCCTTTTTCTATTTTTCCATGACTGAACAACTTCGCTTTTGTTAGTCAACAGTTATTTTTTTTTACAATTTTTTAAACTTACTTCTCACTACCGGGAAATCCTGGTGAGGGGAAAAGGGTACAATTTTGGAGCCCTAGTTCACAGAAACCAAATACTCACTTGATGGAGACTACGGTCATGTGTTGGAGCTGATTCTTGAGATCCTGAAAGTTCAATCCTTCAGGCCTTGGGCAAGCCTTAATCAAATTCAGTACCTGAAGATTCAAATCAGAAAGATTTTAGCAACTACTCTGAATCAGCTCCCCTATGTAAGCCAGAATCCCTTTATAGGAAAGAAATGAGTCAGGTACTTAGCACCATTAAGGAAGTAACATAATTTACAACTGACTGTGTCTTGCATGTCTGGAGCCACTCAGCTGTTTACCTGGTTCTGGGCCACACTGAGGCCATTTGCTGGCATGAAGTTATTCCCACCGAAGTTCCCAGCTTCACCCATTCCTGGATTGCTGACAGGTGCTCTCCCTGCTGAGGGCTGAATTAAGAAATAAGTTTACAACATCAGTAAATTCACCAATTTAAACACAGTCCTTGCTCTTTTAAACAGCTTAATAAGTAGTTTACAAAAAAACAATTTAAGCAGGTTTTTTTTTTTTTTGGCTGCGCCACACGGCTTGTGGGATCTTAGTTCCCTGACTGGGGATTGAACCCAGGCCGTGTGAAAGCGTGGTTAGAGTCCTAACCACTGGACTGCCAGGGAATTCCCTAAGCAGAGTTTTCCCAATAACAACTGCTTCCCTTGGAAAGGACAGCTATTATCTAATGAGTATTTCATAGGAAGATAAAGTCATTCTCTGAAGCATATCATATCAAACAGAGAGAAAGGTACTTCCTGGACCCTCCTTTTCTTTTGTGATGTGACAGGAACCAGAGGAAAAATAGCACTCAGAAGAAAATTACTGAGATCTGCTATAGTGTTATCTACCTCTGGTGCTTCAATCATGCAAGCATTTACTGAGTGTCAACTAGGCATGAAGCATTACAAGGAGAGAAAAGGAGACATAGTTCTCATTACCCTCTTCTTTTCTTCTTTTTTACCACCACACTTTTAAAAAATAATAGATTGATAGTCACTGTTTACATCTCCCAGCACTATTTGGATTCTCTCCAAATACACCTCTGAAACTGTTCTCACCAAACTTACCAAGGCTTATCAACCAACACAGCCAGTAATCCCTTTCAGTCCTCATAACACTTGACCTCTCAGAAGCAGACACTGCTGACCACACCCCTCTTGAAATGTACCCCCCCCCTTTTTTTTTTTGCGGTACGCGGGCCTCTCACTGCTGTGGCCTCTCCCGTTGCAGAGCACAGGCTCCGGATGCGCAGGCTCAGCGGCCATGGCTCACGGGCCTAGCCGCTCCGCGGCATGTGGGATCTTCCCGGACCGGGGCACGAACCCGTGTCCCCTGCATCGGCAGGCGGACTCTCAACCACTACACCACCAGGGAAGCCCCGAAACGTACTCCTCTTTAGGCTTCCTGACACCATATTCTTCTGGTTCTCCGCTTAATTTTCAAACTATACCTTCTCAGTATCCCTTCTCAGCCTCTTTGTCTACCTGTCTTCCAAAAAGCTGACAGTTCCCTCAGGATTTCACCCCAGACCTCCTCCGAGGCCACAAATCCTTGTTCCCAACCATCTACTGAAGACCTCCACTTAGCTATCTCACGCACTTCAAAATCAAGTTCACTACTTTCCTCCCCAAATCTGCTTGCCCTGGTATATTCCATTTCTATTAGTAAGTCCAAGCCCAGTCCTGTAGACCTCAGCCATCTTTGAGTCTCCACTTGCTCACCTCCCACAGTCTGTCACCACAGCCCATCACCACAGCCCATTAATACAAAGTTCAGCGGCTCGAATTGATCCTCATCACCCCTGGTCTCCTGACTGGTGTCTCAGCTGCAAGTCTCTCCTACTCCAATCAACCCTCCTCACTGCTCCAAGTAATAACTTCTGATCATGTCTCTCCTCCACTTAAAAGCTTTCAGCTGGCTCCCCCTGCCTGTGAAAATAATATAAAACTCCTGGATATCAGACCTACCTACCTACCTACCTACCTAACTAGACATCAAAGTCTGTTTTTATTTTTGACCACCCCCTTTCAACACAGGGAATTCTTGCCAGTCACACACATGCCTCTGACACCTTATTCCATGTCTGGAATGCTCCTCCCCTCATCTGCCTGGGAAACACTCTTCTCATCCTTCAAAGCCCAACTTAATTGTCACTGCCTTTGTGAAGACTTCCCTGACATCCCCCTAGGCCAAAGTTAGTTGTGTTCTTCCTTCTTGGCTCTCACAGCATTTGGCCCATTCCCTCTCATAGTAGCCATCACACTGTTTGCCTGTCACTTTCCCCCATAAGCCCCTTCAGCTTTGCACAGTGACTGGTGGGCAGCAGGTGCTCAGTCAATGTTTAATTTATTGAACTGAATAAAGATGACAAAAGATTAAATACGTTAAATACTCATTACAAGTAAAAGAGCATTGTGGAAGCTCATCGGTGAAATCCCATGCAGTCAAGAGACTCATTCATTCAACAAATGTTCATTCAACAAATGTTCATTAGGACTTCCCTGGTGGTGCAGTGGTTAAGAATCTGCCTGCCAGTGCAGGGGACACGGGTTCGAGCCCTGGTCCGGGAAGACCCCACATGCCGTGGAGCAACTAAGCCCGCATGCCACAGCTACTGAACCTGTGTCCTAGTGCCCCTGTGCCACAACTACTGAGCCCACATGCCACAACTACTGAAGCCCGCACGCCTAGAGCCCGTGCTCCACAACAAGAGAAGTCACCACAATGAGAAGCCTGCGCACCACAATGAAGAGTAGCCCCCGCTCACCGCAACTGGAGAAAGCCCGTGCACAGCAAGGAAGACCCAACGCAGACAAAAAAAAAAAGTTCATTAAATGCCAATGCTTCGAGGTCATTAAAAAAAAAAACCAAAATTCAGTCATGGTCTCTTGTTTTCAAGCAAGATAGCTAGATGCCTTCATGTTGCTTGCTGGTGAAACAGAAGTCCTATTTTATGATCCAGTAATACTGAACTGAACGCTATTTCTTCCCTGGATACCTCTGCTGAAATGACCTCATGTTCTGCTCCAGGTGCGCCCCTGCTCCCATATGTGTATTTTAAGACTTGGTTTAGGCATCACCTACTCCAGGAGGCCCTTCTTGATGTCCAGGTCAGGACAGGAAACTCTTCTCTGTGGTTCAACAGCACCCTGCACTTGCCACTCCTCACTGCTTAAGTGATCTGAACCCTCAATGCTTAAGGCAGACTCTTTGAGGGAAAGGATTATTTTATTTACTCCTCCATATAACTGTCTATACTCACAGCTCCCACCCATCCTCACTTTAAAACCATTTTTATCACAGAACATTTGATACATATGTACAGGTTATGAAGTATAGTCATAAAATAAACACCCTAAGCTTTCTACCCAGTCCCATTCTTTTTAACCCACATTTCCCCTAACCGCTGCTGAAGCCTCTCTTCTGAAGATCCACGTTTCCAAATCCGACAGACCTCTCTCATCACCTTACTTGACTTCTAGGCAGCATTCTACAGTTGAACTCCACTCCCTCCTTAAAGTACTCTTTTCAGAATATTCTACAGAATCACACTTCCTGATTTTCCTCCTGCCCAACTGGCAACTTCTTTGACTTGCTCTGGCTCCTGCTGTGCTTCCAGACTCCTAAAGGCTAGTGTCTCAGAGCTTAGGTCTCTTACCTCTTAACTCACTAGTTACCTCGTCTCATCCGAGGCTTTAAATACCATCCACACAATGACTCCCAATGCTCCCTCTCTACCCTTGACCTCTCCTTTGAGTCCCAGCCTTACACAGTCAACCGTCCATTCTGGTCTCCATTTGGGTGTCTGACATGTCGCATTTGCTAAGTCCAGAACAGAACTCTGGAGTTTACCCTTCAAACCTGCTAGCTCCATCTAGTTACTCAAGCCCCAAACCTAGGAGTTATTTTTGAACCCTCTCTTTTCTTTATATCCTGTATCTAAACCATTAAGTCCTGTCAGCTCTACCTTCGAAATGTATTAGAATCCAACCACTTCTTACCCAGCTGCTGCTACCATTCCCCAGAATTACTTCTGTTGCTATTGTTGGTGCCTCATAGTCTACTCTCCACACAGCAGCTCAAGTGAGCTTTTAAAAAGGTAAATCAGACCACATCACTTCCTTAGTCAAAACCTTCTAAAGGTTTAGTGTCAATTAGAAAAAAGTAATCCTTACTATGGCCTACAAAGCCCTACATGATTGGGGTCTCGCTCCCTTGCCTACATCCCTGTACCACCTCCCCTGCCATTTGCTTCACTCCAGACAGTCTGGCCTTCTTGCTGGTCTCAAGTATGCCAAGCTCGTTCCAGTCTCATGGCTTCTGACACCGCTGCTTGGAATGTTCTTCTCTCATTTAAAATTATACCATTCTTATTCCCTCCATCACTGTCTTCTCCTACTCTGCTTAATTTCAGAGTACCTATAACTACCTAAAATTATATATTTGTTTTCTTGTTGATGGTCCATTTCTCTCAAGAATATAAATTTGAGAGCAGACACTTTACCCATCTTGTTCACTGCTATATTCCCAGGGCCTAGAATAACGATTGGCATATACTAGGCTCAATAAATTGAATGAATTTATCTTCGTATCCCCAGGGCTTAGTGAAGTGCTTGGCACAAAACAAGAGGCAACAGCTCCAGTCCCTCCTACTGTAACCAGTCTCCCACCTTGCCACCAGAATCATCTAAGGGCACTCTAATACTCAGATCAGCAAACCCATTATGTGGTCCTAGATGGACTTGCCAAACTGAATTTGTACCACAGAAAATGTTGAGAAATTTCGATAGGAAGCAAGAAATATAATTGCAGGGACAAAATAATGGTGCACAAATTATCCTGTTTAGCCAATAGGTTGGAAGGAAAGCAGCAAAATGCTATCTTAGTTGGGGTTTTTATCTGAATATGGGCTGAAAATCCTGAAGCTAAGAGCTCAGCCAATAATTATGTGTCTACACTTGAAGCTTGTCTTGGCCTCAGCCATCCAAGCCACTGGGGTTAGAGGAACTTGTCATTTTGAGAGGAAAGTGTTTCATCAGGAATAAAATAACACAGCAAAGCTCATGGAGAAAATTTTTTTTGAGGACTGAATGATGCCTTTCTTGTGGCTCCATCTTCAAAATGTCAAGGAAATCAAAGCTGGAGCACAGAAGTGGTTTAGGTTTTTTCAGGGAAGAGAAAAAACGACGAGAATGAAGCTGCTCACCTGGCTGTTAGACTTGTTGAGCATCATGTGTGCATTGACTACTTCCAGAATATGTGTGGTGAACTCATTCATATCCTCCAGGGGCATGATCTTAAAGGCTACCAGGCTTTTCTTGTTCTATTAAAATAAAGAGAGAAATGTGAACAAAGAATGAGCACATTCAAGTCAATTTCAGGTCAAAACATTGTGGCTCTTTTCTTGGTTATAGTATTTTACTAACTGAGGAAAATGTGTTATATACTGAAAATTTTTAACTCAGAGTTAATCCAAATAGTCAATGAAATATAGTCAAAAGAACAAAACTAGCACAGAGATGTTCAATGACTTTCCCAAGGTTATACAACCAGAGTCTAGCCTCCAAATCCAGTGTCTGCCTTCTACACCTAATGAATGCCATAGATGGCAACTGTAGGCTGAGATCTTGTTCTTTCTCTACCTTTCTGTTTGTTTTATATTGAGGAAACCCATTATTTCCTTTTGAAGAAGAAAATAATGAAATAACTTCAATATAACTCCCATTAGACACAGAGACTTACTAAGTCTTGAGTATCCTAAACTTAGGCATGACCCCAGAAACTGCTTCATGCAGATACATTTTAACTGTCGTTTTTTCCCTGACTTTACCTGAAAAGATCTCAGATGACCAGCCACTTTCACATATGTTTCTGGAGGAACCACAGTGTTTTCACTGCTGGCATCCTAACAGAAAAAATACAAACACACCACTTAGGTTTTAGTGATGCTGGTGAAAGCCTCTTCAAAATTTCTAAATTATGTACAGAAAGAGAAAGTTACAAAGTAAGAGCTAAAGGATCCTAATGTAGCACTACCTAGTTTGCCCTGCCTTTTAGAATTTAATTTTTAAAAAATAAAACCAGGAATTAGAATAAAAATATCCAAGTTCTATGTTATGTACATCAAAAAACAAGCAAACAATTATGGCACTCTCATTCAGTGCTCTTAGGCACACAACTTTCAGGTGGACATACTTATTGGCATAACAACTGTACTTTCAGAAATTTAAGAAAATAAAGAACATGTATTAAGATTTAGCTTTAATATGGTCAACTAATCTATGACAAAGGAGACAAGGATATACAATGGAGGAAAGACAGTTGCTTCAATAAGTGGTGCTGGGAAAACTGGACAGCTACATGTAAAAGAATGAAATTAGAACACTCCCTAACACCATACACAAAAATAAACTCAAAATGGATTAAAGACCTAAATGTAAAGCCAGACACTATAAAACTCTTAGAGGAAAACATAGGAAGAACACTCTTTGACATAAATCACAGCAAGTTCTTTTTTGATCGACCTCCTAGAGAAATGGAAATAAAAACAAAAATAAACAAATGGGACCTAATGAAACTTCAAAGCTTTTGCAAAGCAAAGGAAACTACAAACAAGACGAAAAGACAACCCTCAGAATGGGAGAAAATATTTGCAAACGAAAGATTCATCTCCAAAATATATAAACAGCTCATGCAGCTCAATATTAAAAAAACAAACAACCCAATCCAAAAATGGGCAGAAGACCTAAATAGACATTTCTCCAAAGAAGACATACAGATGGCCAAGACGCACATGAAAAGTTGCTCAACATCACTAATTATTAGAGAAATGCAAATCAAAACTACAATGAGGTATCACCTCACACCAGTTAGAATGGGTATCATCAGAAAACCTAAAACAACAAATGCTGGAGAGGGTGTGGAGAAAAGGGAACCCTCTTGCACTGTTGGTGGGAATGTAAATTGATACAGCCACTATGGAGAACAGTATGGAGGTTCCTTCAAAACCTAAAAATAGAATTACCATATGACCCAGCAATCCCACTACTGGGCATATACCCAGAGAAAACCATAATTCAAAAAGACACATGCACCCTAGTGTTCATTGCAGCACTATTTATAAGAGCCAGGTCATGGAAGCAACCTAAATGCCCACAGATAGACGAATGGATAAAGAAGATGTGGTACATATATACAATGGAATATTACTCAGACATAAAAATGAACGAAATTGGGTTATGTGTAGAGATGTGGATGGATCTAGAGACTGTCACACAGAGTGAAGTAAGAAAGAGAAAAACAAATATCATATATTAACGTGTATATGTGGAACCTAGAAAAATGGTACAGATGAACTGGTTTGCAGGGCAGAAACTGAGACACAGATGTAGAGAGCAAATGTATGGACACCAAGGGGGGAAAGTGGCTGGGGGATGGGTAGTGGTGTGATGAATTGGGCGATTGGGATTGACATGTTTGGTGGGAATGTAAATTGATAGACAACTAATAAGAACCTGCTGTATAGGGCTTCCCTGGTGGCGCAGTGGTTGTGGGTCTGCCTGCTGATGCAGGGGATGTGGGTTTGTGCCCCGGTCCGGGAGGATCTCGTGAGATCCTCCCGGTCCGGGAGGATCTCACGTGCCGCGGAGCGGCTGGGCCCGTGAGCCGTGGCCGCTGAGCCTGCACGTCTGGAGCCTGTGCTCCGCAAAGGGAGAGGCCAAAACAGTGAGAGGCCCATGTACCGCTTAAAAAAAAAAAAAAAAAAAAAAAAAAGAACCTGCTGTATAAAAAAATAAATAAAATAAAATTCTAAAAAAGAAGATTTAGCTTTAGGAGTATTCATCACAGCATAGTTCTGAATACTAAAACATTTAAAACAACCTACATATCCAACAAAAGGTGCACATTCGTATAATGGATTAGTTTATACTGCTGCAAATGATAAGGCAGAATTCTATTCATTGTCCGTGAAGACCTGCTGTGACTCATGGAAAAAAGCTTATTTCCCACAAGGGGAAACATACACATCAAAACGTTAACAAAAGTTAACTTGGATAATTATAAATGATTTTAATATTTCTTTTTGGGTTTTCTAGACTATGTACCTATTATTTATAAGAAAAATACATAAGCTGACTCAAAGCTCTTTTTGATTATAAAATACATGACTATAAAAAAACTAGAATATAGAATCTATGTGTTTAAAAATAAAAAACACCCCAATTCCCATTACCTGGAGATTATCAACTATTTGCATTTCACTCTACCTATTATTTTACATAGCTGTATATATACCACAGATAAAAGTTTGTATTCGCTCAAAGAACATTTCAAAACAACTTGGAACTAACACATTATAAATCAACTATACTGCAATAAAAATTAAAAACAAACAAACACTTGCAAAAAGTAAAGCTGGATCTATACTTCTCTCCTCATTTCATTATAAAAAGACTTAATCATAGAGATATAAAAAGAAACCACAGAAATTATAGAAGGAAACATGAATTGAAAAATAATCTGAAACAAGGAAAAGCTTTTCAAAGTCAAAAGACAAACTACAGAAATCATATAATTATGATAAGAGGTTAATATTTTTCAGCCTCTTGCAAACAAAAATAAATAACCAAACATTCCTGGGGAATCAAAGGACTTAGACAACTAAAAATACCCCCACAAATTAACACTGAACAAAGTTAAAAAAAAAAATCCAATCTCACTAAAACCAAAGAATTACACATAAAAAATGAGAAAATTCTCAATGACAAGACTGTATTTTTAAACTATGATACAAAAATTTAAGACTCATAAAACCTACTGTTAGGGTGTGGAGAACTAATGGGGAACTCTCATGCACTAAGTAAACTGGTACCTTTACGGAAGGCAATAAAAAATGTAAAAACGTAAATGTAAGATTAACCGAAAAAGAAAGTAGAAACATGTAAAATGTGTATTTCCTTCAGAAAACCTAGTTTAAATTGATCTTAAGGAGATTATCTCAATCATGAAAAGATGTACACAAAGATACTCACCGCTGCATTGTCCATAATAACAAATGACGGAAATAAGCTAAATGTTTCCTGACTGGGTCTATAAGTAAGGGATGATATATCCTCATGATGGAATAGGCAGTCACCAAAATTGATGATGTAAATTTGTATTTATTGACATTAAGACATCAGTTCCACTACATAGTTTTGAGCGAAAAGAGCAGATTACAGAGCAGTTGCATATCACATTATCCTTTATGTAAAACTGTAAGCATACAACTCATAAATGTACAGATATGCAGAGAGAAATGTCTGAAAGGGTATTTCCCAAAATGTGTTGTAACAGTAGTCATCTTTGGGATGTGGGATTTCAGGGGATCTTTAAATGTTTATAAGTGAGCACCATACATTTTGTATGAGCATGCAGTATTAGGCATCTCTAGTAACTACCTTCCCCCTTGATGGCAGGGACTGTGTCTTTTGCATTCTTTGTCTACCTGGAACCAAGCAGTCTGGTTCAGAATCAGTACTCCAATAATAACTGTTGAATGAATTCTCCTGTATTTTTCTGAGGTCCAAAAAATAAAGAATGAATAACTGTCAAGTTAATTCTTCACAGACGACTTGTGGTTTTTGAAGTGAAAATAGCATACAAAGTATGCATTATCCAAATGTTCTATAATGAATGTATTTTAAAAACAACATAAAAAACCAAGAGGCCTCTGCCCAATTAAAAAATAAAAAGGGGGCTTCCCTGGTGGCATAGTGGTTAAGAATCTGCCTGCCAATGCAGGGGACACAGGTTCGATCCCTGGCCCAGGAAGATCCCACATGCTGTGAAGCAACTAAGCCCGTGTACCACAACTACTGAGCCTGTGCTCTGGAGTCCATGAGCCACAACTACTGAGCCCACATGCCACAGTTACTGAATCCCATGTGCCTAGAGCCCGTGCTCTGAACAAGAGAAGCCACATGAGAAACCCATGCATCACAACAAAGAGTAGCTCCCGCTTGCGCAACTAGAGAAAGCCCGCCCACAGCAACAAAGACCTAACACAGCTAAATAAATAAATAAATTTTTAAAAATAAATAAAATAATTTAAAAAAATAAAAAGGGTAAAAGGAATATATTTTCTTTAAGTCTATTTTCTCCATGTTTATACGTACACTCATATACATGTTGCTTTGCAAAAATGGGGCCACACCATGCATACTACCTTTTTTTTTTTTTTTTTTTTTT